CATGTTTCCGCATTTTCAACTTTTGCATTTCCATGTTTTCGCATTTTCATATTTTCATGTTTCCGCATTTTCAACTTTTGCATTTCCATGTTTCCGTATTTTCACATTTTGCATTTCCATGTTTCCGCATTTTCATATTTTCGTATTTTCATGTTTCTGTATTTTCGTATTTTCATATTTTCGTATTTTCACGTTTTCATATTTTGTACTGTTGTAATTTTCATACAATATTTTTTAAGAAATTCCTCCATTGTTTATATAGTTTATATTGGCACCGGTTGTACATTTGATTTAGACAGTATACTACAGCGACTTTATTAAAAGTCGACTTGGTTATAAACTATATATTTTCCTCGTTTTATCCCGCTCCTCAATTCTTTCAAAGTTATTTGTTTACATGTTAATTAACTCATGTTAAATTATATCGTGGTGCAGTTATAAAGGGCTGCAACGATCACGAAGAGACTACTGTGTCTACTGTATCTAAGTCAAACCGGATGTTCTCTTGCGAGCAATTGCAATATTGTCCCACAATATTGCAATTTTGATAAGGAGATTGTTCTGAGCAATTTGCAAGCCGACGCGAACAAATAGGCCGTGGGCTTTGTTGGCCAAAATTATTTCGCTTCGTGGCAGCTAGCCTGCGTGCAGGCCCAAGGGAACTTGATAGTGGGCCTGCAACCATCACCCCATGTTTTCGATTTTCGCCGGCCGAACCGCCGGCTAAATTCCCATTGGCTAGCTGAGGCGATCGGTAATTAATTAACCTAGCCCATTGTGCAGGCACAAGGGAACAGTGATTCATCACAAAGGCATAGACAAAGGCTCTCGATAAGCTTAAAATTTGAAAATTGATCACTTTTTTCGATTACAAATGGAACAAGAACAGACTGTTTATTGTTTACGTGAAGGAAGACATGTTTTTGCCGTTATGCCAATGGGGATTGCTTGTCGTGAGGTGTTGGAATAGCAACATTACGACTGGGGTAAACTATAGTAACCTTTACTTGAGTTTCATTAATTTCAAACAGACTTCAGTTGATACGTTATGTGTTCTCACTTCCTCAAGAAAATTATCTTCTGGTTGATGTTGAGATGCAGTTGCATGTAAGAACTGTAAGCCTATTCGAAACACTTTGCGATTTACAAGGCTTCGTAGAGAGAGCGAAACAGAAGGCGGTATTAAATTGCCGTTTGAAACGAAACGATCTGGACTCGGAACGCTCTCTTCTTTTGTAGAGTTCTTTACCAAATGAAATAAATTTCGTACTTTCCGCCGCCAACAAGAATTGCACACACGATCTGATAAGGGAGACAATTTATTTATAACAATGCCAATGGCGACAGCGAAGCACACATAATATAAATCCTAATGTGGTCGCCCGACTTCCCTCATGATTTGAAGTTTGAGACTGGTTTTCTGTTGAAATTCGTCCTAATTTGCCTGTTCCGATTTTAGTTGAAAATGAGCACTTGCAAATTTGGCAATTAGGGAAAGTACATTTATTACACCGAGGGAGGGGGATGAAGATGTCTTGAAAAAAGCTCATATTTTTACAGGGCCCCTGTTGAGGTTATCGGTAAATTTCGATGCCCCCCCCTCCAAGTTTTTAAAATTTTCAATGCCCCCCCCCCCCTCTAGAATTCGGAATCGAAGGAGTACAATCCGGAATTCTCTCTTATCATAGATACAATTTGCAGTTCCTCAAGATGTCTGATATACTCAAGTGCTTCTCAGTGGCGTGCTGGGTACTATTTTTCTGGAGGGGCCAGTGGGCTGTCAACCAATATGCGCCCCTATAATGTTACACTTGATAAACGAGGGCCGAAGGCATGAGCCGAGTGCCGCAGGTGCGAGGTTTGTCTAGGGGGGTCCGGGGGTATGCCCCCGGGAAAATTTTTAAATTTAGAGTCTCTGAAATGCCATTTCCTGGACTTTGGGGGAAGATTTGACAGAAATATGATGGTCAGGAAACGGCATTATAACGTGTCGAAATTTGCAATTTGGTTTGAATTTAGTAGTAGTACTTAAATTATGCAATGCCAACTACTTCCAGCGATTAATTTAATCCCAATTCTGTTCTCTACTGATCTACTGTTCTGAGCACATTTACAACTTAAAGCTCTTTTATACAATAACACACGCACCCCACGCATATGCATTTTAAGGTTTCTTTGCCTGGCTGCCCAAAGGGCATGTTTCAGCATTATTTCATTACTTAGTACTTACATTACTCATGCTTCTTGTGCAAACAACTAAATTGCGTACACAACTTTACATCAGTTATCATAACTTCAATGATCTAATTTGCGCCTCCCTCGTGATTCGTGAAGCATAATAAAGGGCATATTATAAGGGCATAATACCAGCAAAA